TGGACATCTAAGAGAGTTGGATTAAACTAGTCTCGACTAAAAAGAACCAGAGAGCCTTTTTAAAATACATTTTAAAAAGAGAGATGTTATGTTCCAACATATGAAAGAAGAAAATCACACTAGAGTGAGATTAAGTTTTACTTATATCTGATGTTTATAAAATTTTAGAGGAAAGAAACAATTTACTGAAATTCTTTATGTCTCAGACCATTTCCTAGCGATGTGAAACTTTGTTTTTAGGAATTGTTAAAGTTCCTATTTTGCTAATATGACGAATCATGACAACTTTGATCATGGAAAACTTGATTTTCTAGACTACCTTTGTCTTCAGACTATGACTATGTCCCTATTTTGTACCATGAGAAAACTCTTGATCCAGCTTTTTCCCTTCTGCTTCTCTTTACAGCAAAATATCTTAGAGTTGTAGAGACTCTTCCCTTTCTCTCTTGAAACCACACCAAACAGACTTTTGGCCCTTGCTATATTTCACCAACATTTTTCTTATCAATGTCACCAGTTATGTCCAATGGTCACTTCTGAATCCAGTGACCATTTCTCAGTCCTCTTTTTACTTGATGTATCAGTTTGACTCAGTTGCTTTTCCCTTCTCCTTAACACATTCATTTGATTTCCAAGATATCATGCTGTGTCAGGGATAGCCAAGACTACCCCCAGGTTCAGTGATTTTCTAGGAGGACGCAAAGGACTCAGCATATAGTCATGCTCACAGCTAAGATTTATTACAGCAAAAGGGTACAATGCAAAATCAGACAAGGGAAAAGTCTTCTAGGGTGACAACTGAAGGAAGTAGGTACAAGCTTCCAAGAGTCCTCTCCCAGTGGAGTCATATAGGACATGCTTAATTATTTCAGAAATGAATTGTGACAACAGCTGCTAAATGTCTTCTACTAGTGAAGCTTGCCTAAACCTAGGAGTCCAGGGTTTTTATTGGGGATCAGTCATGTAGGCACCCTCTGCCTAGCACATACCAAAATTCCAGGCTCCTAGAAGGAAATCAGGTATTCAGTATAAACCATGTATTTTTTGGTTCCCAGGTGCCAGCCAGGACCAACCTTGTATTTTGAAGGATAGCAATCTCAAGTCTGTTATGTTAACTTTTCTGCACACACACCTTTTTCTTATCTCACTGGCTATCCTTCTCAGTTTCTTTTGCTGTTTCTTCCTCATCTCCCTGACTTCTAAACATTAGAGTGCACCAAGTTAGTTATTGGACCTTTTCTCTTCTCTTTATCTACCTAGTCCCTTAATTAATCTCATTCAGCCTCACAGCTTTAAATACCATCTGTTTTATCTGTTTTGTTCACCAGTGTATTCCCAGAACCTGGCAAATAATAGGCATTAAATAAATATCTGCCAAATTAATTAATTGACTAATAGTATATTAAAGAAACAGCCAATTTGTGAAGGTCAGCTAAATGGATCAATTAAGAAGACAGGATAAACTTAAAGAAAATATTTGAATTTGTAATGTGATGACATTATTCCTTGACATTATTTAATCTGAATCAACGGAAGAAATATTTTTAGTAGCCCTATAAATTTTATGATTTTTACATATTTTTAGGAATTTTAGTACTGGAAGAAGCTTAGGGATTATGTAGTTTAACTTCCTAATTTTATAAATGAGGTAAATTAAGGCCCAGAGATGTTTTTTAATCCAGGGTCACTCTTGATTTGTAGCAGATCTTGAATTAGAAGATAGATTTTTCTGTTTCATAATCTGATATTCTTTCTGACATTTGTTTCACACTGCCTTGGCCTTCCATACATCTGGATGCAGTACATAAAATCATATAGTACATTATTTCTCTTTTCCTCTTTTTCCCCAGTGCTCAGAGAAGTATAAAACAAGGTATTTACTTTGTATTTTTCTTCTTCTGATGTCCTTATTATTTTCGTTGGTGTTTTTTATTTATTTATTTAATTTTTAGTTTCAGAATGAAAATTAACTCTCAGGAGAGACCAAAATGAACCTTTCATATTAATATTTGGTATGCCTTGTAGTCTGCTTTCAATTCTTTACAGAATTTTCTTTTTTTTTTGTTTATTGCTGTAGTCTAAATGAAGTTTACATTTCAGGTTAGTCTCCCATACAAAAATTTACACACACACTGCTATGTGACCCCAATTGCTCTCCCCATACTGTGACAGCACACTCCTCCTTTCCACCCGATTCCCCGTGTCCATTCAACCAGCTCCTAACCCTCTCTGCCTTCCCATCTCACCTCCGGACAGAAGCTACCCGTTTAGTCTCTTGTATCTAATTGAGCTAAGAGGCACACTCCTTATGGGTATCAGTTTATGTCCCACAAATCCAGTCTAATCTCTGTCTAAAGAGTTGGCCTCGGAAATTGTTTTAGTTCTGGGCTGATAGAGAATCCGGGGGCCATGCTTTCCAGGGTTCCTCCAGTCTCAGTCAGGCCGTTAAGTCTGGGCTTCTTACTAGAATTTGAGGTCTGCACCCCACCTTTCTCCTGCTCCATCAGGGACTCTCTGTTGTGTTCCCTGTCAGTGTGGTCATTGGTGGTAGCCGGGCACCATCTAGTTATTCTCTTTACAGAATTTTCTACAGCAAAACTTTTTTTTTTTTTTTAATTGTACTTTAGATGAAGGTTTACAGAGCAAACTAGTTTCTCATTAAACAATTAATACACATATTGTTTTGTGGCATTGGTTGCCAACCCCAGGACATGTCAACACTCTCCCCTTCTCGACCTTGGGTTCCACATTACCAGCTTTCCTGTCCTCTCCTGCCTTCTTATCCTTGCCCCTGGTCTAGTGTGACCATTTAGTCTCATTTTGTTTTACGGGCCTGTCTAATCTTTGGCTGAAGGACGAACCTCGGGAGTGACTTCATTACTGATCTAGAAGGGTGTCCAGGGGTAATACTTCTGGGGTTTTTCCAGTCTCTATCAGACCAGTAAATCTGGTCTTTTTTTTTTTTTTAGTTAGAATTTTGTTCTATATTTTTATCTAGCTCTGTCCAGGACCCTTTATTGTGAACCTTGTCAGAGCAGTCAGTGGTGGTCGCTGGGCACCATCTAGTTGTGCTGGACTCAGTCTGGTGGAGGATGTAGTACTTGTGGTCCATCAGTCATTTGGACTAATCTTTCCCTTGTGTCTTTGGTTTTCTTCATTCTCCCTTGCTCTAGACGGGGTGAGGCCAGTGGAGTATCTTAGATGGCCGCTCACAGGCTCTTAAGACCCCAGGTGCTACTCACCAAAGTAAAATGTAGAACATTTTCTTTGTAAACTGTGTTGTGCCAGTTGAGCTAGATGCTCCCCGAGACCATGGTCTCTACAGCCCTCAGCCCAGTAATTAGGTCCCTCAGGGAGTTTGTATGTGTCTATGGAGCTTCTATGACCTCGGCTTGGAAACCCTATGGGGCAGTTCTACTCTGTCCTGTAGGGTCGCTGTGAGTCAAATTGACTCGACAGCAGTGGGTTTGGTTTTTGGTTGGCATCCTTTTAATTAAATTTTTTTAAAAATTCTCATCAAGTCGATTCTGACTCATGACAACCCCATGTGTTATAGAATAGAACTGCTCCATAGGGTTTTCTTAGCTGTAATCTTTACAGAAGCAGATCTCCAGGCCTTTCTTTCATGATGCCACTGGGTAGGTTCCAACTGACTACTATATAACCATAATAGAAATTATAATACTGGGTTTTGAAAAAGTAACGTCAGGTCTTTTTCATATAGATCATTCTCATTTATCTTTTTTAAAAATATTTTTTGGGTTAGTTTTGAAGGAGTTAAAGACTTTTCACAAAATTAGATGAGGAATAATAAATTATCTTTAGTATATTCCAAAAACCAAACCCATTGCTGTCGAGTCATTTCCGACTCGTAGCGACCCTATAGGACAGAGTGTAACTGCCCCGTAGGGTTTCCCAAGAGCAGCTGGTGGATTCGAACTGCTGACCCTTTGGTTAGCAGCCGAACTCTTAACCACTTTGCCACCAGGGCTCCTTTAGTATATTAGGCAGCTTATAATTTTATTTTATAATTGCAAAGTGGCTAAGAAGTTTTCAAATAGATACCTTTAATTTGTATTGTACTGCAATGCTATTTGATACTTGGCAAAGTTTGCAAAGAAACATACTGAGAAGGCTTACAGTTCACTACAGGCTTAGCTTTGATTTTGTCAATAAGCTCCAAATAAATATATAGACAGTAAGTATAATATCTTCTCCGTTTGCTTAATTTTTCGAATGCTCTATGGCCATGTTGAATGTGAAGCAATCCGAAACAATTGAGGTTGATGTTAGTGAAGAATTTCAAACACTTGAATCATGCTCTCATTTAGTTCTTTAACTGTGATTAGATAGAACTTCACGATTCTATCCTGGCACTTTTATACCTAAAGGATCAAATAAGGTATGTGAGAAAAGACTTGGAAACCATAAAGTACTAACATACGTAAAATGTTATGCACTTGGCGTTAACTAAGAGACCTATCCTAAGAAAACCATGGCATAGGTTACCATGCGTACATTTACATTTGAGCAGCAGATTATAAATAGTAAATTTTCCTCAATAAGAATAGTGGAGTAGGATGTTTACTTGTTCAGTGACCTTCAATTGACGTTCCTTTTGTAGTGCTCAAAGATGGCACAGTGTAAAGGGTTATGCTGCTGAATCAGACATGCTCTGCTCCCCATTCAATATATAATTTCCAGTTTTTGTCATTTGTATTCTTTCCTTCCTAGCTGCCAGATGTATATTGTAGCAAGGTAAGGTGCAGGAAAGGGTTGGGGTGAAGTAGTAAGAAAGAGAGAGAGGAAAGAAAAAAAAGCATTTCTATCATGGAATGAAAAAACTGTTAGTGTGCCATACTATGTGTGGATGTTTATTTGTTTGTATCGTTGTATATTTGATAAATCTAAATTTTTTCTTTTAATCTGAGTTTCAAAAGTGGGTCTAATACCAAATGGACTTAATAGAAATTTGCTAATTTATTATTCTGTTCTTACAGTTCTCAACATGTGATTTCATCCCATCTCCAAAATTAAAGCCCTCTCAAGGAATGCCGGTCAATGATGATTTGTGTTTTAGCAGAAAAAGAGTGTCAAGAAACTTATTTCAGAATAGCCGGGATTTTAACTCAGATTCTCTTCCTGTATGTGCTGGTAAGTAACAGATGCAGGTAGTAAACATGTTGACCTAAATTAAAGACAACTTCAAAGTTCATTCAAGGGCTCATGGAATTTATAATCTAGTAGGCAATTGAGATTCAGTAAACGTTTATTGATCATCTGATAAGGCAGGACACTTTGACATAATTGTCTCACAAGACCTTCACTGGACCCCTTTAAGTAGCAATGTAGAGCATTAATCATTTCATCAACAACCCATATTTTTGAGCATCTACTTTGTGTCAACAAGAGAGAAAACTTCCTGCGTAGTAGATCTTGCATTCTAGTTGGGGGTGAGCAGACATTAAATAAACACAAGATAAATGCTATGGGGAAAAATACAGCAGAAAAGAGGAATGTGGAGGGGGGCTATTTAAAATAATGTGGTGAAAGAAGGCCATATTCAGAAGGGTACATTTGAAGAAATAGGGAAGCAATAACATAGATATGAGGAGAGAAGAGCAGATAATTCCAGGAAGAGGAAAGAACGCAAGTCACTGTCATGAAAGTGTGTGGAGCATGTTTGAGAAAGATCAAAAAGGCTAGTATGTCTAGAATGGAATGACTAAGGGGTAGAGTAGTAGAAAATGAAATAAAAGAGATAATAATAACCCGACCCGTTGCCGTCGAGTTGATTCCAACTCATAGCAACCCTATAGGACAGAGTAGAACTGCCCCATATGGTTTCCAAGAAGCGCCTGATGGATTCAATCTGCCAGCCTTTTTGTTAGCAGCCGTAGCTTTTAAGCACTACGTCACCAGGGTTTCCAACACGGATATTTAAATAAGGCCTCATGTGCTCTTGAGTGAATTTTGGCTTTTACTCTGAGTGAAGAAAGAAGTGACATCATTTGCCTTATATTTTTCAGGCTCATGTTGGGTGTTGTGTTTGGAACAGACTAAAGGAGAGGAAGGGTGAAGACAAGGAGACTGATTAGGAGTCTGTTGTAGTAATCCTGGGTAGAGTTGATGGAGGCTTTGACCAGCATTGTAGTGAATTTAGTGAGAAGTAAGTGGATTCTTACTATATGTGGAAGGTAGAGTTGATATGATTCTGATGGAGTGGATATAGACTGTGAGAAAGAAGAGTCAAGAATGACTCGAAGGACTTTTGGCTGGAGCAGCTGAAAAGATGCTTAATTGTCTAAGTGTTACAGAAAGTAAATATTATGATAGTTCAGGACATGGTCATTATCATGGACCAACCATATCAGTTAAAAAAGGCTTTAAGGAAGAGGTAGTACTTGAACTGCATCTTTTTGAGATACATATGATACAAGTGGTTAGAGTGGAAGAATGGAGGTGCAAAGCTTACACGGGAAATAGGCTTAAGATTTCTGAACTGTGTCAAGGCAGGATTCATTTTGAATGGTAAAAGATAAATTGTGATATGGAGAACCTTGTGTACTAGGCTCAGAAATTTAAACCTGTACTTCTAAGATATAGGGAGCTAATGGAGATTTTTTTCATTAAGGATAAAAGAAACTGGAATGATAAGGTTGTTTGCAGATGGGGTAGAAAGGAATAATCAGGAAGATATGATGACTGGATATAGAAGATGAAGAAAGGGGTAGGGAAAGACTTTAAGGTTTAGCCCCCAGGTTATTAGAAAAATGGTAGTGGGTCGACAACACAATACCTAGCTGGAAAAGGAAAATGGAGAAGATAAAGATTGAGTTTGTTATAGACGTTAACATGTATTTAATATCCAAATGATATCAACTATTGAGATATCTTATCTGTGAGTTAGGACACAGTTCATTTACCAAATATTATTCCCTTAGGAGAATTTATAGACCTTTTTTTGCAGTAAAATTGCTTTGCATTTTCATACAAAAAATGAAATGTTACAGTGATTTTGTAGTTTTATTTGTTTATTTAATACGGAAAAAGAAATACAAGAATATATCCAGATATGTTCATACCATTGTTTTTGATTTATAAGGGTCACGGTTTCATTCCATTGAGAAGCTCATTGTCTGGTCATACACATTTTATACAACTGGAGAATAAGATAACATTAACCTTAATGCTAGACTGGATGATATGAATTATAAGTACTATAGGAATTCAGAGGCCCTGGTGGCGCAGTGGTTAAGAGCTTGGCTGCTAACCAAAAGGTAGGCAGTTCGAATCCACCAGCCACTCCTTGGAAACCCAAAGGGGCAATTATACTCTGTCCTTTTTTTTTTTTTTTTTTTAAATAGGAATTCAAGAAAGAAAGAGATTGTAGGGATTGAAGTAGTTTAGGAAAACCACAGATAGGAGGTTGGACTTGAGCTGGACTTTAAAGAAGGAAGGGGTTTGAGATTGGCAGTGAGTCCAAAGGGACTGTTCAAGCAGAAAGTATAACCAAAAGCAAGAAAGAGAATTAACTGAGAAGGTGTCTAGTACATGAAGGATAAAGGATCTTGAAATCATAGGGAGAACATAAAAAAAAAAATTGTAGAATTTCAGATCAACAAAGAATCAGCCCATTTTATAGATCAGTAAACTGAGCTCCAGAGGGGTCATTATCACCTCTTTTCTTCAAACCCACTGACATACCCAGGAATAACCTTAACTAGCCACTGAAGAGGGAAAGGGATCTGAGAAACATGCTTGGATAAGTTTGAGAGCTATGTGAATGATACTTGGTATGTTAGGAAAAAAGTAGAAGAGTTCTGCAGTAGAATTTTTTGGATAGAGTGTGTACTGCAAATACTGGGAAGAAGGAAAGCAGGGTCTGGAGAAACATTCCAGGGTGAAAGAAGAGGAAGTATAGGAAGAATCTGCCTTTGTGTATATTCTTCAATATACCTTTTCTTTTTCTGTCCTTTACCAGTCTGTCTTCTGTCCTTCAACCTCTACCACTAGTCAGATATGCCAATACCAAAAGCCTTATCTCTTTCGTGCCTGCCTGGCTCATAGTACTTATTTATTTCTTTTTTTTTTTTTATTTCTATTTTTTGTATTTTTCTATTTTTTTTACTTATTTATTTCTATTTCTTTTTTTTCTTAATCCTATGTAAAGCACACCAACATTTGTGAAATAAGACGTATTCATGAAGTAAAGTTAACCTTTACTTTCACATCTTTTCCCCTCCTTTCTTTAAAAGGTACTACTGGGACTCATCAGACAAATCTTTCTGGGAAGTGTGGACAACTTGGATTTTCACAGATAGGTGGTAAAACTGGAAGTTTGGATTCTGACTTACAGTTTCTGGGGACAGCTAATAGTCATCAAGATAAAGGTATAAATTCCAAATTATTTTGGTTACAAGTGATTTATAAATATTGTGGGGTTTCCACATCTAACTTAGACATCATTTTGTGTAATTATGCTTAGGACAGAAAAGAAAAGTATGTTGGTAGTATTTTTAATAGCAATTTTAATAATTTTTTTATAATTGTTACCATAAAATAGTAGACTTAGTAATCTTGATATAAATATGACTGATTAAAATATGAGTTTAGAAACTCTTAATACGAAGTCATTGAAAATTAAAAAAAAAAGGTCCTCCAAGGTCAAGAAGGGAGAGTGTTGACATGTTGGGGGGTTGTTAACCAATGTTGTAAAACAATATGTGTACTGACTGTTGAATGAGAAACTATTTTTTCCGTAAACCTTCACCTGAAGTACAATAAAATATTGAAAAAAAAAAAAAAAAGATGCTCAGTGTCATTAGCCATCAGGGAAAAAAAAAAAAAAAAAAAAAAAAAAAAACAAAGTCATTAAAATAACATTATCCATTAAGGAGTACTGTGTTAACAGAGGACAGTTATTTTCCATAACAGTTTTAAATTTTAAGAATATTTGGAATTTATTATGCCGCTTGTCGGGAACCATCATTTCCTGACTAGCTATCATTTCAAATGAGACATAAGAGATAGAACAAAAGGAATAGTTTGAGCCTAGCTGTTGGTCACGTGAGTTTTGGATTTTAAGGAGTTTCTTAAATTTTCATGCTTATGAATAGCATGATCAAGTATTACTTAGAGGTAGGATGAAATTAAATATTTCTAAAGATATTTTAATTTTTATTGTATGTTCTTTGCTAAAAATTCTTTTTAAAGTGATAAGGAAGTACTTCTTTATTGATTGATAAAAAAAGTAATATCATTTGAAATTAGTAGATTTGGTTAATGTAGCACTTACATTTTAGATACCCTTTCCTTCACCTACCCCAGAGGGCCACGTGACTCCTTAAAGTTTCACTTCATGGTGTTATTCCTAATAAAATACTCCATTTTTCTGAATTATGTAGGTATTCCCAAATTGTGACTCTTGGGTGCCTTTGGGACCTCAAAAATTGTCAGTATTCTCAGATAAAACATGGTACAGTGTAGTGATTAAGAGCATGGGCTTAGGAAACAGACTGTCTGGGTTCATATTCTAGCTTTTTAATTTCCTAGGGTGTGACTTTTAGCAAGTTATTTATTTACCTTTTTCTCCTTCATTTTTCTCATCTGTAAAATAGGAATATTACCTACTCCCACAGGACTGTTGTGAGGATTAAATAAATTAATACATATAAAGTGCTTCGAACACCACCTGGCACATAGTAAATGCTCAGTAAACATTAGTTCTCATCATTGTCATCATCACTATCATTATTATTATCGTTATGAGATTATCTATGTAGAAAATCCAATAGCATCAAAAAAAAAAATAGCATCTACCAAAAAGCTAGTAAAACTAAAAAGAATTCAGCAAGGTTGCCAAATATAAAATCAGAATATAAAGGTCAATAAAGTTCCTATATATCAGCAACTTTGAGAAAATGTAAGTTTTCATAAGAAATTATAGTATCAACAAAATTTATAAGGTATCTGGTAATCTAACAAAAATTTTCACACCCTTTGTTATGAAAGCTATAAGAGTTTTTTGAAAGACATATAAGAAGACCCAAGTAAATAACGTAATTTTAAACAAGGAGACTCAGTATTAGGAAAATGGCATTTCTTCACAGGTTAATCTACAAATTCAATGCCATTTCAATAAAAATCCCAACAGAATATTTTATGGAACCTGACAGGCAGATCCTAAAATTTATATGAAAGAGTGGAGAGCCAAAATAGCCAAGATAATTTTAAAAGTCAAAATTGAGGAGGACTTGTCCTATCAGATAAACCAAAAAAACAAACCCACTGCCATAATGTTGATTCTAACTCAGCAACCCTGTAGGACAGAGTAGAACTGCCTCATAGGGTTCCAAGGCAATAAATCTTTTTTTTTTAGCATTTTTTTTTTTTTTTAACATTTTATTGTTTAGGTGAAAGTTTGTAGAGCAGATTAGTTTCTCATTCAACAATTTATACACAGCTTGTTTTGTGACATTGGTTGCAAACCCCTGAATATGTCATCGTTCTCCCCACTTCCTCCCTGGGTTCCCCACATCCATTCGCCCAGCTTTCCTGCCCTTACCGTCTTTCTGAACTTTACTTTTAGGAAAATGCCACCCTTTAGGTCTCGTATAGTTGATTGTTCTGAGGTGTACATTCCTCACTGGTGTTACTGTTCATTTTACAGGCCTGTCTGTTGTATGGCTATAATGTGATCTCCGAGAGTGATTTCAGTTCTAAGTTGGAAGGGTGTCTAAGGGCCATAGTATTGAGGGTTCCATCAGTCTCTATCAGACCAGTAAGTCTGGTCTTGTCTATGAGTTTGAATTTTGTTCTACGTTTCTGTTTCACTCTGTCCTTGACTTACTGTTGTGGTTTTGGTCAGAAAGATTGGTAATAGTAGCCGGGCACCATCTAGTTCTGGTCTCAGGCTAGTGGAGGCCATGGTTCATGTGGTCCATTAGTCCTTTGGACTAATTGTTTCCCTGAGTCTTTGGTTTTCTTCACTCTTCTTTGCCCCAGACAGGAAGAGACCCATTGTTGTATCTTAGATGACCGCTCACAAGCTTTTAAGACCCCAGTTGCTACTCACCAAGGTAGGATGTAGAACATTGTCTGTTATGGATTTTGATATGCCAGTTCACCTGGATGTCCCCTGAGACTATGCTCACTACCCCTACCAAGGCCATAAATCTTTATAGAAGCAGACTGCCACATCTTTCTCCGGCAGAGTGGCTAGTGGGTTTGAACCACCGACCTTTCAGTTAGCAGCCTAACACTTAACCACTGTACCGCCAAGGCTCCTTGTCCTATCAGATAGAGTGATGATAAATAAAACATTGTGATACTGGTACAAAGATAGACAAATAGACTAATGGAGCCCATACGGAGTATCTAAGAATAGACTCAAATATATTTGGGAACCTTACAGAGCATAGGGAAAGGATGGTCGGTTCAAAAAATGGTGTTGAGAAAACTGGGCTATCAATATAGAAAAAAAATAAAATTAGATCTTTGCCTTACACCATATAAAAATACAAGTGCCAGATGGAATAAAAATCTGAATGTGAAAAGCAAAAAAACTTTAAACTCTTCGTAGATGTGTATACATAAATAACATGTTTTCTTTTGTTTTATTACAGTGTGTACTAGCCTTAATTTTGGCAGTAAGACACAGCAAACATTTGGTAGTCGAACGGAGCAGACTTTATCATACTCTGGTCCAAATCCAAGTCCAGGAGCCTTCATCCTTCCATCCTATCCTCTCTCGTCACCTCGAACTAGTCCAAAGCACATATCTCCTCTTACTGGATCTCCAAAGAAATGTCAAGATAATTCCATTAATTTTTCAAATTCCTGGCCTCTTAGAAGCTTTGAAGGGCTGTCAAAGCCGAGTCCACAAAAAAATCTTGTCAGCCAAAAAGCATCTGACTTTACAGGTAGAAATGATGGTAAAAATCAATACCTTGTTCAAATTTATTTGAATGTTTAAATTATTACTTTGGAGTTAGAACATAGAGTTGTTAGATCTTTTAAAGCTGATAAGTTGTATTTTATTTCTCTGAGTAAATATTTAGGAACATATTTACAGTATGTTGTTGTTGTTGTTGTTACGTGACATTTAGCTGGTTCCGACTCACAGCGACCCTGTGTACTGCAGAACAAAACACTGCCCAGTCCTGCGCCATGCTCACAATCATTGTTATGCTTGAGTCCATTTTTGCAGCCACTGTGTCCACTCCATCTCGTTGAGGGTCTTCCTCTTTTTCACTGACCCTGTACTTTACCAAGCATGATGTGCTTCTCCAGGGACTGATCCCTCCTGACAACATGTCCAAAGTATGTAAGATGTAGTCTCGCTATCCTTGCTTCTAAGGAGCATTCTGGTTGTAGTTCTTCAAGACAGATTTATTCGTTCTTTTGGCAGTCCTTACTATATTCGATATTCCTCGTCAGTACTGCAATTCAAAGGCATCGGTTCTTCTTCGGTCTGCAGTATGTTGAATAGATCAAATGTATAATATAAAATTTAATTGAAATTGTAATTTCTTTCTTATATTGCCACTTCAGAATTTTTTTTTGGAACTAGACAAATAATAATACTTTATTTTGAATTTGTAATAGACATGAGCAGCATATGTTGCCTGAGAACCTATTAACAAATTTTAGCTTTACAAATATAAAATGTTATTCATATGTTTAATATAATTAATGTTCCATGTTCACTTATTCAGCAAGCATTTGTTGAATGTTTATTATATGCTAAAATTATTTTGAACGGTTTTCTAATTGTTATAAACTAAAATATTTTTTTCTTAGCAATAGCCTACTCCAAAATCATGAAGTTAGTGTATAAGTTCATTCAGGACAGATTCAGTCTCAAAATAAAAAGTCTGTTAAAGGCAACCCCTCTATCTCACTGTTTTCTTATCCCCAGCTTCTGAGATAGATCTATCTTTAAACTATCCTATAACACCAATGTTCCAGTTTATAACCATAATGCCAGTTTATTGTATATTCAGTTTCCTCACTTTCTCTTAACACTATTAATTTCTTTCTATGTCTGTCTTTCCTACAAGATCAAACATTGCCTTGAACTTTATTCAACTTGTTCTCCCCAGTGCCCAGTATTACTGCTCTGAATATAGTATTCATTCAAATATTACTTCAATAATTAAATCAGAAAAGTAAACTTTCTAGCTTATTATGGATTTGATGATAACAAATATATGTGATGTGTATGAGGATAGATATCAAAAATTTAACTCAGTATGTAATATTTTTATTTAACATGACAGAATTTGGGGTAGCTTATTATTTTTCTTGTATTAGAGGACCAAACCAAAAATCAAACTGGTGTTTGTTGAATCAACATCAACTCATGGCTACCCTATGTGTTACAGAGTAGACCCATGCTCCGTAGGGTTTTCAGAGCTGTGACCGTTTGGAAGCAGATTGTCAGGCTTTTCTTCCAAAGTGCCTCTGGGTGGGTTTGAACTGCCAACCTTTTGGTTAGTAGTTGATTGCTTAACCATTTGCACCACCCAGGAACTCACTCCTATATTAGAGGACACTAATACTTTTATTTTCTCTCATCTTAGATAGTGATCTTTATTTCTAATAAAATAAAATGTGTTTTTCTGTTTAAAAACACTTAAAAGCAACACTTGTGATTATAACTCCCTGTTCTTTGAAATTAAAAAGAGTAAAATATATATTTTTTCATACAGGAGAAAATTCCCAAGGAAAACCTTCTCCAGTTCAGCTTACACCTGCTTTGGTGAGATCACCATCTTCCCGACGAGGCCTAAATGGGATAAAGCCTGTTCCTCCCATACCAAGAGGAATAAGCCTTTTGCCTGATAGAGCTGATCTAAGCACAGTGGGACACAAAAAGAAGGAACCTGATGATATTTGGAAGAGTGAAAAAGATAGTCTTACAATTGATCTTTCAGAATTAAATGTCAAGGATAAAGATGTGGATCAGGAAGAGGTTAGAACCAAACATTTTTTAATATTTTTTAAAATACTTGTATTTTCTATATATCAGAGCTGTTATTTAAGGAGAAACCAAGTACTTTTAATCCCATAACATTTTTTCTTACTTACAAAAGTATTTCATGTTTTGTTCTTGGGGAACATCTATCTCAATTGGCATAACACAGTTTATAAAGACAATGTTCTACGTTCTACCTTGGGTGAGTAGCATCTGGGGTCCTAAAAGCATGTGAGCAGCCATCTAAGATACTCCACTGGTCTCACCCCTCCGGGAGCAAGGGAGAATGAAAAGAACAGGATACAAGGAAAAGATTAGTCCAAAGGACTAATGGACCACAGCTGCCAAGACCTCTACCAGACTGAGTCCAGTACAGCTAGATGGTGCCCAGCTACCACCACTGACTGCTCTGACTGGGATCACAACAGAGGGTTCTGGACAGAGCTGGAGAAGGATGTAGAACAAAATTCTAAC